TTTCTCCATTCCTTTGGCAGCTGAGTGCAGGCCACAATTTGCTTTCACTTGGAGAGGTGTGCAGTACACCTGGAATCGACTGCCTCAGGGGTGGAAACACAGTCCCAGCATTTGCCATGGACTGATCCAGACTGCACTGGAAAAGGGTGAGGCTCCAGAGCACCTACAGTACATTGACGACATCATTGTATGGGGGAACACGGCGGGCGAAGTCTTCGAGAAAGGAGAGAAGATAATCCAGATTCTCCTAAGAGCCGGTTTTGCCATTAAACGGAGTAAGGTCAAGGGACCTGCTCAGGAAATTCAGTTCCTAGGAGTGAAGTGGCAAGATGGACGCCGCCTAATTCCCATGGAGGTGATTAACAAAATAGCAGCCATGTCCCCACCAACCAGCAAGAAGGAAACACAGGCTTTCCTAGGCGCTGTGGGCTTTTGGAGGATGCATATCCCCGAGTATAGTCAGATTGTAAGCCCTCTCTACCTTGTGACACGGAAGAAAAATGATTTCCAGTGGGGCCCCGAACAACAACAAGCCTTTGAACAAATTAAACAGGAGATTGCCCATGCGGTAGCCCTTGGGCCAGTAAGGACAGGACAGGACGTGAAGAACGTGCTCTACACCGCAGCCGGGGAGAATGGCCCTTCTTGGAGCCTCTGGCAGAAAGTGCCTGGGGAGACCCGAGGACGACCGCTGGGATTCTGGAGTCGGGGATACAAAGGATCTGAAGCCAGCTATACACCAACTGAGAAAGAGATCCTGGCTGCCTATGAAGGAGTTCGAGCTGCCTCAGAAGTAATCGGCACCGAAGCGCAGCTCCTCCTGGCACCCCGACTACCAGTGCTGGGCTGGATGTTCAAGGGAAGAGTTCCTTCCACACATCACGCCACCGATGCCACGTGGAGTAAGTGGATCGCTCTGATCACGCAGCGAACCCGGATAGGGAACCCTAATCGCCCTGGGATTCTGGAAATTATCACCAATTGGCCCGAAGGTGAGAGTTTCGGACTATCCTCTGAAGAAGAGGAGGAGAAGGTGACACGGGCTGAGGAGGCCCCACCATATGACAAGCTACCAGCAGATGAAAGGCGATATGTGCTCTTCACGGATGGCTCCTGCCGCATTGTAGGGACAAACCGAAAATGGAAGGCAGCTGTATGGAGTCCCACACGGCGAGTTGCAGAAGCGACCGAAGGACAAGGTGGGTCAAGTCAGTTTGCAGAGCTTAAAGCCGTTCAGTTGGCTTTGGATATAGCTGAACGAGAGAAGTGGCCAAGACTCTATCTCTACACCGACTCATGGATGGTGGCCAATGCTCTGTGGGGATGGCTGGAGCGATGGAAAAAGGCCAACTGGCAGCGCCAAGGGAAACCCATCTGGGCGGCGGAGATGTGGCAGGACATCGCTGGCCGGGTAGAGAAGCTGAGTGTGAAGGTCCGTCACGTAGACGCTCATGTAGGCAAGAAACGGGCTAATGAGGAGCATCGTAACAACGAGCAGGCGGACCGAGCTGCCAGGATTAAAGTCTCTCAGGTAGATCTGGATTGGCAGCACAAAGGAGAATTATTTCTGGCTCGATGGGCCCATGACGCCTCTGGTCACCAGGGGAGAGATGCAACATACAGATGGGCTCGTGACCGAGGGGTGGACTTAACCAAGGACATTGTCTCACAGGTCATCCATGACTGCGAGACGTGTGCTGCCATCAAGCAGGCCAAGCGGGTGAAGCCTCTATGGTATGGTGGACGGTGGTCAAAGTACAGGTATGGGGAAGCCTGGCAAGTTGACTACATCACGCTCCCCAAAACCCGCCAAGGCAAGCACTACGTACTGACCATGGTAGAAGGAAGTACTGGATGGTTGGAGACATACCCCGTGCCTCATGCCACTGCCCGGAATACCATCCTGGGCCTTGAAAAACAAGTCCTGTGGCGACACGGCACCCCGGAGAGAATTGAGTCTGATAATGGGACCCATTTCAAGAATGGCCTCGTAGACACCTGGGCCAAAGAGCACGGCATTGAGTGGGTGTATCATATCCCCTACCATGCACCAGCTGCTGGAAAAGTTGAGCGGTGCAACGGACTGCTGAAAACCACCCTGAAGGCACTGTGTGGAGAGACTCTCAAACACTGGGAGCTGCATTTAGCAAAGGCCACCTGGTTGGTCAACACCCGAGGCTCCATCAATCGAGCTGGCCCTGCCCAATCAGAACTTTTGCATACTGTAGATGGAGATAAAGTCCCCGTGGTACATATGAGAGGAATGTTAGGGAAGACTGTTTGGATTAGTCCCACCTCAAGCAAAGGCAAACCCATCCGAGGGATTGTTTTTGCTCAGGGACCTGGTTCCACCTGGTGGGTAATGCAAAAAGATGGGGAGACACGTTGTGTACCACAAGGGAACCTAATTTTGAGTGAGAATGGTCTGTAATGTTTCATTGTATATATATATATATATAGATAGATGTATATAGTTTTAAAGGGATATAGTTTTTTAAAGGGGGTTAATTTGGGCATGACATGGATGGCATAGAATAAGGGGTGGATAATGTCCTAGTTAGGACAACTGAGACCAGTTCATCAGGGTATGGGTGTAACCCAAAACTGTGTATTCTATAGCCTTCCATGCCATTTCCCAGAAACTGTTATCAATGAACCATTGACACCATCTGCCCATAGAGCCTGACTCCTCAGGCTATAAACTAGGTGTTAAGAGGCCTGTGAGATAGGAGGATGCTCCTGTCCTCACACCCTTTGTGGAACTCCCCGCCCTGAGGGAAGTGCTGAGCATTCCTGCCTGAACTGCAGGATATATAATCTTGGAGTCTTGGAACATTTTTTACCACTCTGTGGGATCCAGAGAAGGACTGCGGCTCATCGCTCTCAAACAGACTTGGATCACCACCCTATACTGGACTCCAATCACCACTTTGACCAGACTGCAACAGCTCTCCCCCCAGCATCTCACTGCAATCACCACTTTTGACTAGACTGCAACAGCTCTCCCACCAGCAGGTTCTTCCCCTCTCCCTTTACTTTGGACTCAAGCGGGGCCCAAGGAACACCACGTTGTTCATGCCCCAGGGTACTGGGTTATACATTTGGGTTTTGTGGGTTATGACCAATTGTTTGTTTGTATGATTGTACTTTCTGTATTATTTTAGTAAATTGTTATTCTGACTTATAATCTCTCCTTTGAGTTGAGTTCATTTCCCCTGCTGGTTAACTCTTAAACCAGCACAGCTAGGCACTCAAAATTAAGAACCACACTAATCTGAGCACCTCAAAATTTACAGTGACTATATGCTCAATAACTATTCCTTCTTTTAAAATGAGTTACTATACTATTACTGTGGACTAGCATTACCTCTCTGTATGAAGAGTAATAGTAAATCAGTTTTTTTAAGAATGCTTTTCTCCTACCACTTTTCTTCTACGACCTGTCATCTCTTATGGGTGGTCATTCTAAGGACAGTCCTTTTTAACAAACATCAGTAGATTATTTCCTGACGCTCTTAGAAGACAGTGTGATTCCAAAGGAGGCTGGTAATTTTATTGATGTGGTAGAGCATGACTTGACTTTGCAAAGGGACATGACACAACTCAAGACACTACAGGTACTATATGATATACCTGGAAAGTCATCTGGAGACTTCCTGGCCTTTCAAGCAACTGCTATCACTGCAGATGCAGAAAATTACTCTGAAGGGCTTTATTCTAAGAAGGTAGTAATATAAAACTCTGAGATCTCAAGATTACATTTTCTCCCAAGGAAGCCTGCAGTTTCACAAAATAAATGTCAAAGTGACTAACTGGTGCTCTGCTTCAATTGTAAGCCTCACACCAGAATGTCAATCAACTTCATCATCACATCCCTCTCGCTAGATGACGCACTCATGGAAGCAACGGTACATGTGCATTGAAAGCAGACCTTCTGCTGCCAAATAGTCCCTTTTATGATGATAATAATAATAATAACAACAACAACTTGATACCCTTTATTGACCCTGTTAGGAAATTGTCTGGACAAATGGCATCACATTCTATCCCACACAAAAAAGTCATGTATGACTAGGAGACTCAAAATTGTCCATTTTTACTTGCAGAGATGCAGAAAAAAGGGCAGTCAACCAGATAGATTTAGTGTATGGATATTTTTATCCCTAGACCATCCCTATGAATAGAAGACAAGGAGTAGAAGTGAGGAAGTAAATCTGAGCCAGGAGAAAAGGTGCTGGGAGTGGTGGTTTGAAGGTGTTGTTCTAATTTTTTCTCGGTTTCTTACTATACAAAACTATTTTCATTGTCAACGAATGAAACTGATTTTCTTTATGTTGAGTCTATTTAGTCCATGAGAGCAAATGGTGATCAATACTCCTGTCTTTATCTCAACTCCTGAGATTTTCCAACTATTTTCTCTATCTGACCCCATGAGAAGGGGGAGTGAGAGAGTGGCTGAGTGGGTATTTGGCTACTTTCCAAAGCTAAATCACAACACACTTCTAGAAGTCAGCACCTATGGAGAACTGTATCGATATCACCACCATTGTAGTGGCCCCAGTGCAGAGTAAAATCAATCATCACCTTGTTGGCAGGACATCTGCCAACAGGAAACTTGCATTCAGCTCAAGATATTTCCTTTTTTTTTTTTCTTTTTGTAATTAAACTCACCTTTTGTATTGACAAATGCTTCAAAGGCCTTCTGCACAAAATTTTCTAATGACTCTTATCATTAAATGATTCTAAATGTAAGGTTTTTCCAAGGAAGAAAACGAAGAGGATTTTTGAATCCTCTATTGTTGCAACTATTCTCAAGAAGAATGTCAGTGAACTCAGTGCAATGAACTTTGACATCATTAACATAAGGAAAATATTAATATTTCTATTTTGAAGACCTAGAAAAGTTTATGACTGAGATAATTTTCACACACATCTGTTTGATGGAAATCCAATTTCTACAGTTGCTAAAAGCGCTGTCTTAAAATAAGCAGAACTTTTACCTTATTTCTATCCTGAGTATCCACTTCTCCAGGTGCCATATGTTTTAACAACAAAGCTAAACATTTTGGGCTTTTGTGACGTGTAGTTAAATGTAATGGTGTCATATCCTCCAAGTCCTTCTGCATCCAGTTCCCTCTACGAGCCAGTAAAAGTTTCATGAAGCGGTAATTTCCCTGGGTAAAGAAAAACAGCAGAAATTTATTTCAGTTTATCAAACCAAATGATGATACTGTTTAGATATATTTACTGTTGTAATACAGTGACTAAAAAATCTGCATCAAAACAGCTCTGAGCTTTGGAAACATATTTTTTTTTTTTTGTTAAAAAACATGAACTCTTTATTTTTAAGTCTGTTGTGCTGGTATTAGATGCATATATTCCATTAGCAGAGTGTGTAAGACAGGGTTCAGTAACAACGAAAATTCTGCAATATTATCAGAGTTTCTTAACTGTTTAACATCAATAAACATAAGACATGCCGGTTTCAGCATAGTAAACAGTTATCAGATGAGGAATAAAACATGATGAAAGAACACAATTTTAAAAATGAAATTAAGAAAAATGATGAGGAATGAATGATTCAGAATGATGCCTTAAGCCCCTAATGTTTTTTTTATTTTTCTAATATTGGTAAGCCTTATAAGTTTTATAAGTAGATTTTAAAAGCAGCAACCCTCCCTCCTTTGTCCCTTGCCCCTTGTCCCTTTCCCTCTAGCACCCTTGTTTACACATTCCTTAGCCCTCTTACCCCTGAATCCAGTAGAAATGTTTAGTCTTTTGTCAAGGCAAGGCCTAGATTGTTGGCAGAACAGCATATCAGGGCCTAAACCACAGAACATGGTCAAGAATTGGGTGACTATGTACCCTTTGTGCTCTGATGAAGATGAAGATGGGATGAACAGGGGGTCCCGAAACACACCCCAGACCCATTTTCAGGGGGTGGACCCGGGGCGGACCAGAGTAAAGGCCACAGGGTGGACACATCTGGGATTGGATGGATGGTATTATAAAATGTAACATCTCAGGCACGGCCTGCGCGTCTTGTAACATCTTAGCCTTGGCAAAATAAACCCTTTCTTATCTCACCCCTAATTAACTGCTCCGGAGATTTTTTCAGCACCTAACTCCCACGGCAACAAGAAAGATAAAATGTTCTCATCTGATTAAGTAAAAAATATATGCAAAAGTGATTGTTTTGTACATTTTTACATTCTTACATTTTTAAATTTGGAACTGCAGGAGTTTTGATCCTGCAGCACGGATGATAAATAGATGGGACAGTTTCAATGACACACTGAAAATACATCACACTTTGGACTTCCACTAGGTTTTCACTACGTTTTCAAAAGAAATAATGTAGAAATGTTCCTGTGATCAATAAATGAAGGTCAATCCCCCCAAAAACAATCTGGGTTTATTTCTCAAATCACTGAAGAAGCCGTCAAAAATTAAAGATGTGATCATGCCATCATGAAGAAGCTGTAGTGATTTAAGGGATAGCCAGCCTTGACTTGCTACTGTCCCTTACTTGGAGATTATTTTCCATATAACAGAGATGCTTCTGCTTCGTGAAATCTGTTGGGTTTATCAAATCACCTTCAGTTTCAGTGAAGGACCAGCAACAGCTGGAGCAATAATTCATTAAAGCAAAACATCTGGACCTATCTTGTGTGATCACATTTTAAATATCTCTGTTCTTACCCCACTCTAACTTTTAACCTTTCCAAAAGTGAAAAGAGTCTCCTAACTTTGCTCACTGCCTTCCAATGTTTCCCAAAATATTAGCTTTTGCCAATTTCACATGTGGACAATTACCCATACATATAATGAAAACAGAAAGCTCAGAAGAGAAGATAAATTGTACTAATTCCTCCCCACTCAGGAAAAAGCTGGAACATTTGATGAAGCTTTATTAGACCATGTACACAGGAAAGGTGACACCCAAATCAATAGAAGTCATGTCTTTGGATTTTTCTGCTTATGGAATTATCTGCAAATTAACATACTTCAGTCTGCCACAATTCTTTCATAAATCCTGTATGTTAACTTAGTCCCTTTAGGCTGTCTTTGGAAAAACAATGAGAAAGGGTAACCAAGTAGACAAAGGCAAGCAGTGGTAATGAACAGGGGCACTTCTGTATCTCATAAGACTCAGAATTGCAAATCACTGTCAGCAGAATGATAGGGTGGAGATGGGCCAAAGGATCCCAGAGGCCACCACAGCATCCAGTGCCAGGGCATGAAAATATTCAAGTTTCCTTTTTCAAAGTAGCCTTAGACACTGGGAGGGCATATGTTACATATGTTACTGTTCTGGTTTTTGTCTAATAGAAATGGAAGACTTGAGCTTTATGCATGCAAAATGAATTTCACCAAGTATAGCCAAAATAAATAAATGTGATCTTTTCCCCCTGCTGCCCTATTTTATTTTAAAATGCAAAACAGGGAAAGCAAACCATGAATGACCTCAGACAAAATAACCTCTTCCTGCTTCTGACCATTTATTTTCATTGGTCCTTGCTCTTCAATGAAAGCCTACAAGAAAAGTCTACCAAAAAACTTACCACAAACTTGCCTGAAAATGCAAACTTCTCTTGCCAGAGACAGCACGGCCACTACAGCATTCACAGTGAGAAGTGACCAAACCTCTTTCTTCTGCTGGGTGTCAGGGAAAGCATAACCTTAGGATTTTGTCCCTTTAATATGCAGACACACATCAAGGCATACACTGAAGTACAGGGGCAGAACAGTAAAATGTCTGCAGAGCTACTAATCCACAGTGAACATGCTCAAAATGAATTCATGATAAGTTTGGGAATGAGCTAAGCAAGAGAAAACTCCTCATTATTACCACTGTATTTTACAGGCAAATAGAAGAAGAATTTACAAACTCATTAAAAAAGAAAAACAGAAACTAGCAAAAAAATCTCAAATGTATCATGATGGGGTTGGCAATTAGACTGGAAGACGACAACATTAAATAACTTGAGAGAATATTAGTTTCGGAAGAAATATAGCTACGTTTCTTCATCACAGAGGATAATGCATTTGGTTTGTTTTCAGTATTTCCTGCTCAAAGTGCATGCATACCCGTGAAAGAAAAAAAATTGATTTTCTTTTATTGATGGATACTTATTGGAAGATTTACAAGTATATTCTTCTTTTCGAATGAATTTCACTGTAAAGAAGAGTTAAAAAATTTAAAATAATTCATAAGACTAAGAAAACATGCCTTTTTATTATTAGAATTTCTTTGCCTATACTGCATTTTATTTTTGCTGTTACACATTTTTCCACCAGTTACTACTACATTATTCTCTTTCATGCTTAGCCACCAATAATCCCTCTCCTTACCACATAAATCTATAATAAATCCCTTCATTCTGAAACACAACAGACTCTGTTTCTTCCACATTGTGGCAGATTTTTTTAAAACACCGCAACAGGAAACACCTGTGCTTACATTACTTATTTGAATTATCTTATCCATGTTCTTACTTCTGACTGCTGTTCTTTTCTCTAGTAATACCATGAATGTTGCTGTGTTCCTTTCACTTGTTAGAAAACTATACCATCCTTTTTAATGACAAAGGAAAATTTCCCCACTTTCAATTGATTACTGCTTAAGTTTGTAAATATGCAATGTATCAACATGACTCGAAGGCAGATTTAATTTAGGTCTCTCTAGGTGGTGGGAGGGAAAATGTATGCCTAATTTGAAAAACCAATTCCTTCTTTTTTATAAAATTCTCGTGTATAAAAGGTCTTCAAGCTTGTATTAATTGTCCTAAACATCCCTGGGCAGCATAAAGTGCTTTGAGTCAGTTCACAGTCTCTTACCGTTAATAGTGTCTCAAAAACGATTCTGTTATACAGTGAAAACATTCTGAGCAAACAAGATTAAATATTAGTACAGAGAACTCAGTTCCTGGTAGCCAAAATTTACTATTCCTATGCCAATTCTTAAAATTCCTTTAGATTCAGTTAAAATTATTTTTAGTCAAAAGACTCAACTCTGTATGCAAACTACAGCACAGCTGATAACAGGCTTCAGCAGAACCAGAACAAATACTTTTGCTATTTCAAAATTTCAGCACATATACTAACTGCAGTGGAGTATAACCCAGTTTTTGGTAGACAAACAGTTCAACAAGCAACCATTGCTCTGCCATCAAGCAATGACTTTGAAGAAAGTTCTGGACCCCAAGCCAAGCTTAACTACTAAGCAGTCAGAAAAACTCTCCTTTCCTGAACATTTCAGTAGAGAAAAGAGTGATGAAAGAAATATCTTAATCAGAACCGATGAATTTGCCAGAATTCAGATTATCCCTGAAATGGAAAAACTTATCCTCAAAATTTTAAATTCACCAAAAAAAAAACCAAAAAAAAACCTGCCTAGTTCTTTCCATATGATTCTAATGCAAGGAAGAGGTTCTAGCGGAAAATTGCCAATAAACTTTTCTACCTACTTTTCTGGGCCTAATGTGATTATTTCTTCACTCATATAAAGTATCTTTTTCAACCTATTTTATCTCCCTGGCTTGTTGAGTAAGAGTAGTGAGAGAGCAGCTAGGTGGGCATCTGTCAAACAGTCACAGTCGGTCCGTTCCATATGGTCACCAAAGTGAAAGACTACAGAAAAAAAACTAGCTCTGTTCTAAAAACAGTGACTGAACCTAACGTGGGCATATGGGTATCAGGGAAGAGAGTGATTCCAGCATCACTGCAAAGCCACTCGAATATCTAGAGCCCTTCTGGGTCAGGTTTCAGCCCTTCCCCAAACACACAGACACAGGTTCCTACTGGTCCAGTGTCCATAACAGTTCAATAGTACTGCAACATTTAGATCAATCATATTCTTGTATTGCTGTTGGGAAGGGTTAAATGATGTTACCCACCTCTACTAGCTGGCTCTCTCTATTAACAGGTAGCACAACAGACCAACCAACTCAACACAAAAAGGCTATCACAAAAACACAACTGTGCAAACAGTGTAGCACCCAAAATGAAAAAGAGAATTTGGCAGTTTTTGTTCCCCACATGATAACTAGCAGTATAAGAAAGATTCCGAGTTGTTAATGGATTTTTTAATTTACCTTTTCAATACAAGTAGATAATTTAATACATTCCAAGGCACAGCGTTAAAGCCTGAAACTTATTTTAACACAGAGCT